TAATAATTATGAAATATTTTACTCGTCGCTAACGTAGGATTATAAATGAGAAAATAAAATAGTTGAGCTGATAAATTCTGAAATATACTTTCTATTAATGTATCTTTATTATGTCTATAATTTTTTAGAGAAAGGTCATCGTTTGTTACGATCTTCCGATTAACAATTTGAATAAAACATTAGATTTATATAATATATTATAAGTATAAGTATACGCTTCAGTAATCATAAATGCGTTGCGCGAAGCGATACCATCAGCTATAATCCTAAATATGGAGTGAGAAATTTGAGAGAACTGAAAATAGTGGCGCTATGCCAAATGCCAAAAATAGCTAAAAAATAAATTGTAGTTACGTGCCCGCCTGCATCATTCTATAACTGGTCTTCAATGAAAACGAGCCACCTCCCGCACATAACCGATATTAATATCTTCCACTAATCTCGCTTTTTATATGCAAAAATATTTTTATATTTTAAAATCTAGTTAAAAGTTTTGGTTAAATAATAATACTTTAGATTCAGGAAATTTAGATCCTTTATATTACATTTGTATAATTTTATAATTAAAAGATCGAAAGTTTATAAAATTTGGAGAAATTTAGATTTGAAGAATTCAGGAAAATAAAAGTGTAATTAAAAATTAAAAAAATTTTCAGAGTAAAACATTTTTGTAAAAAAATGTGAAGTAAAAAGTTATTTTTTAAAAATAACTTTTAGATTTTCAAAAATATAAAAACATTCCTAATTTTACTTTGCAGATTATTATTCCGAAATTTTAACAAAAAGTTTTTCCAAGAATTTTCCCTTTTCATATATTTTCATCTTTTTACATATTCCTATAAATGTAGAAATCAATATTTGATCGAATGTCTACTTTAATTACGATTAGTCTGTCATCGATTAATATTATGACTAGCAAAGTCGACCAAAGTCGTCTTTGTTAGTTAGATAAAAAAAGTTTTTATATTTAAGTGTTACTTTATTTTTATTATGTTTATATTTATGTTTCTATTTTTGTGAAACTTTGTTCTATAAAATCGCTTTAAAATTTACGGAATTGGTCACGTTGGTTACATTTAATAATAATAATAGTATGAAGTTATAAAAAGCTCAAATATACTCTGTGTTTCCGTTCGATTTTAAAACTTTGATAATCTCACTTTGTGTCGAGATCTTATTCCAAGAAGTAATCAATGATCACTGACAAAGACGGATTCTCGCGGAACGTGAAATCTAGTCAATTAGAACCAAATATGGTTTAGAAATTGTGGGTGTTCGGTAGGCTATGTCGGAATGTTACGGTTTCTATTTTCGCACGGGAATATTTTTATCCTACGATACTGCGCAAAGTCGCAATATGTATAATATGCTTCTTCGTCTTCTGCGCGTCTCCTTCCTTCTCCTTTTTAGCCTCTTTTGTGTGAGCTGTTTTCCGACATTACCACGCTAGTCGCTGACATTTTTACTTTCGTTGAATCTTTACCAAATCTCTCTCTCTCTCTCTCTCTCTCTTTG